ACCAGCCGCTGGGCTTCCCGGCCGCCGTGCTCAAGGAGGGCCTGCCCCAGCTCTGCCCGCCCTACCTCGGCTACGCGCGGTAAGGCGGGGGCGGCGCGGCGCTCGCTGAGGGACGGGACCGGGGGTCGCGCTGCGCTGCGGGAGAGCTCCTCATCCTCCTCGTCCTCATCCTCCTCCTCATCCTCCTCGTCCTCCTTCTCCGGAGGGGCGGGCGAGCCGAGCGGTGCGCACCTCGCGGGGATATTAAGGGGATGCTGAGGAAAGGACGAGCGAAGTTTCTCTCGGCGAGGGCCTTTTTGGGCTTCAAGGTAGTGCCCGCAGCCCCGCTGGCGTTCCCTGCGCTGCCCGAGCACGCCGCGGTGTCCCGGCTCCGCAGCTGGCACATCGCGGCTTGGGGCACGATGCCGCTCCAGGGATGTTGGTTTGTTACCGCTGCGGCACTTGAGGGCCACCCGATGTCCGAACCACTGCCCTGCCCCGGGCAGGCCGTGCAGGTTTTCTAGCTTGTCCTCTCTTTCAGCGATACCGCATTCATCGATACCTAAATGTTTTCCGAAAATTTGTTGAAAAAAATCCCAGACCAACGAACAGCCCCCCCAAAAAACCCCACCCACAAAAAGTGGTTGATTTCACACGAAAAAGGAAACTGAAACACTTGTATATTGATTTGCTAGAATGAAATGGAGTACTGTCATGCCCAGCTGTGCAGTACATAGAAATAAACGCAACAGGTGCATGCAATGTTACAGTTTCAATGGAAATCCTTTATTTTAGTAAATGCAGTGGTTACCTAGATTAGTCTGTCTTTTCTTGCAGACAAATAGGAACTATCCTCGATATACCCATCAGACTTAGTTACTGCTGAGAACCATGCAGCTGAATGGGGGGTGGAAAACTGATTGTTAAAGATTTGTCTAGTTGAAATGAAATTTCCTAGTTCCCATATGAAAGAGGCCTTTGAAATTCAATTGACATATATCTGATTCTGTCTCTGTACAGGGAAAAGAAAATCATCACTATGACTCCAGTCACAAGAGTTGTTCTGAGGAAGATGAGCATTTTAAGGGATTGTCTAGATGGTACCCTTTTTGCTAAATGGTTTAAAATATAACGTTATGCTTTTTTTTTGCAATGCTTTCCTGTATTACCATAGTAGAGACAAACCATTAAGCAGAAAGGTAATCATGCTTTAGGTTTTTCGTGTCCTTCTGTATCTTGATTACTAATTTTAAAATGACGTTTTTAATATAAAGCTTATTAATACAGGTAAGTAGTTAACTGTGCAAAACCAGATCTTTCATTTATTTTAATTCTTTTTCTTCTCAAGGCCAGATACAGAAACCAGCCAAAGTTCTCAGTTCAGTTTTGAATCACTACCCCAGAAGATTTGTCTCATCTGCGGTGATGAGGCTTCAGGTTGCCACTATGGAGTACTTACCTGTGGAAGTTGTAAAGTCTTCTTTAAAAGGGCAATGGAAGGTACTATATGATGCCATTGTTCCTAATTACCTGAAATAGGTCTTCTAGACACTAGGTTTATTTATTGCTCATTTCTATAAATGTTATCACTGTAGTGAATTTTTTTTTTTTGTTTTATCAACTCTGTTTAAATATTACAGTGGATATTGACAAAGTTCTTGCTTAACTGATTTTTCTAGTATTATTTGTTTTACTTTACTTTTTTGCTATTTAATATTTTCTGTTCATCAGTTAATCATTCCAGGTAGGCAGAGTTAAATAAAAATTTTGTGCATTACACAACTTGTTTTTAAAAAGTATAAATGGTGTTCAAAGGAAAATATTATGGGTATGAACTAATGATAGGCAGATAAAAATTTATTTTGGCTTTGTTCTCTTTTTGAAGTCATGACATTTTTCTTGCCTTCAAGTTGCAGAGTTTTGGCTTCCTGGGAGTTATGGAAGTATTTAAAATTTCACTAAACTATTTCAAGTCATAATAATAATAGTGTTTGACTTGTTCCAAATAGTTGTTAGATTGCAAAGTCAAGCTGCAAGTTTAATGAAACAGTAGCAGTACGTATGTTTATTTTTCCATTTTGGATTATATTATATGCCTTATCCACTGAGATTTTGATTACAAATAAAAGAGCTGAGTGTTTTATGTGGTTCAACAGATCAAGGAGTAAAACAAATCCTTCTTCTTTTTAGGCTTTGTCTCCTGTTTTGATTTTTATCTGATGCTGCCAGAACTAGGATATTCAAATTTCTGTTCCATATATTTAACAAAACCATTGTTCAAATGGATAGGATTCCGTAAAATAAAAAAAACACTGCATCTTGTAGTTTCTTGTTGTGATACATTGGTTTTTCTGCTTTAAAGAGTTTATCTCTCTCCAAATGAAAAGGGGAATATTAGTAAAGTAAAAGCTTAGCATAATAATATAAATAGATTTTTTGTTTCACTGTGCTGTTACTTTCTACTTTAAGTATATGGTCATGTTCTTCCTTTAATGTTAAATATTTGCAAAGTGGTCCTGGTGGTCTAAGTGAACTTTTGAACTTTTAACAAAATTTGTGCCACATTTTTTCTAATGCTATCAGGGGGTTTCCATGAGTAAACTACTAGAGATGTACAAAACTCTTAAGTAACTTGCAGGAAAATATTTAAATTTCACTGATTGTTAGTTGGTTTCTTAGTTTGGCTTTACATTTTTTTGCTATGTTTTGCTAAATCAGCCAAATATTTTTTTAAAAAGGTCAGGGAGCTGAAGTTTTAATACTAAGTGTAGTGTAATTAGAGTACCATATTTTAAAATAAATTTTACTTTTTGATTTCATCTCTTTTTTAATTTAGTTCCCAGTTCTCTTTGCAGCAGACGAACCTGTTCAAAAACATATATTTCTGTTCAGCAGAATTATTTAAATGAAAAATGTTAAGAGGGAATATAACAATAAAAGGAACATCTTAAAGCTGTTTTCACAGACTGTTCAAAGTCTATATTTGCAGAGTCTTACCAGAGAATAAGAATAAGAATATAGACTTATTTAGGGACAAATGAGAGGTCAATGATGTTGCATAAACTAAAGTCTTAGGTTTTACATAGCAACTTCATAATTTTAGTTTTTAAATTAATCCACAGGCTGAGAGTCTGTTGAGGAAGTGTGTTTGGGTTTTCTAGTAAGGATTTTCGAAAATATTCAAGAATGTACATCAGAAACCTGACTGTACCCAGAAAAGATACAGGTTATTTGATGTGATGAGAAGCAATGTCAGGCAATGAGCAGTGTGGCCATTGGCAAAATGAACAAATACAGTTGTACCTGATTTTGTGTAGAGAGTGCAAGACTGCAGGGGGTTCCTTAGAGATGGACTGATGGACTTCTTATTTTCATTGCAGTGTACTATAAAATTATCAGCACTGAAATAATCCATTATACTGATACAAATTTGATTTTATATGGACTTTAATTTTTTTTTATAATTTTTATTTTATATAGACTTTTTTTTAAAAAAAAATCAGAAATAATGGTGGAAAATTGCTTCTCTGTAAGAAGAAACAGAGTATTTGTATTTTAAATGCAATAGAAAATAGTGTTTAAAATTCACTGGCAATCATATAAATTTGAGACATATTTCTTCCATGTAATGACCCCCCTGACCATCATTTCTCTGAGTGTAAAGGAATTATTTACCTTTTAAAATTTTTAGTTCTACTACAGAGATAGGGTTTTTTTAATAATAATTCATACAAATACAGTGTTAAATTCTGTTAATAAAATTTCCTGGTCAAAACTCTTGCTTTTCATACATAACTGATCTTTATGAGAAATTAAAACATGATTGGAAATAGCTGACTTTTGCTATTTCATGGATTTTCTCTATCTTGAGATTTTTGTTTTGTATGTTATGAGTTTTTTTTACATAGATAAAAAAGTACTTAATACAGTAGCATTACATTTGTTGGAAAATGTCTCTTTTCTGTTTTATTTTTTTCTGTAATCTGAGATGTAGTTGCTGTTTTAAATCAAACAGCTTATGTATTTTTTGTAATTTTTTTCACAGAAATTGTTCTATTCATGCACCATTTATTTTACTTTCCCAGGTGTGAGAAAAATACTTTATTGGTTAAACACTTCCATTTTAATAAAATGGACTCCTATGCTATCCAGAAAATTTATTTTTTTTCCATATTCAATCTTTATAAAATAAAAAAAGAGATTATTTACAATACCCAGCCTGAACAATCATTTAAAACTGTATATACTAATTATGATTTAATCATACATTTGAATGTAAGTACTACATACATAATACATACAATTTAACAAGGAGTCGGAGTTGTGGGAGGGTCACAAAGATTACATAAGAATGTCTCTTGGCACTGAACTGTAAGATATGTATGACTTTGTAGATACTTCCTGTCTTTTGGGTTCTTGGTTCCCTATATGTGGCTATCTACATATTTATATATTTATGAAGAAAAGGTTGGTGTTAATATAATAAATGTTTTTTTTCCTCTTGGCACCATCTTGAAGCAGGTTAAACAAAAATGCAAGTCCTTTCTTTGGGACCCTGTAGTATAGCAGATATGTAAAAAAGTTAGTACTGAAGTGAGGGTGAGAGAAGGGACAAAGATACTGGGTTGTTTTTTTCCTAGTCATCCTTTATTTGCATTTAGAAGTTTTCTGTTGGAGCCTTGCTAATAGCTAGTAGTCTGTAGATTCTCTTAATGTATAATAAAATGACAAGGGTTTTAAAAAATGCTTTAAAGATCTCCTTTGAGCATTATGAAAACAATGAAAGTTACTGCTATTTATATTCAGTAAAGAAATTCAAAAAGACAAAATTGGATTCACTGTCCTGATGGGGTAATGCTGTTCCTGTCAGTGAGATGAGAGTGATGAACATTTTGGAGATAGAAATCAAAAAAAATTCAGAAATAAATAGCAAAATGCTTTCAAATATGTAGAATTACTATATTTGCAAAGTAAATTGCTGTTGATGATCAGGCACTATTTAAGTGCTACCAGTATATCTCTATCATAATAGCAAAATATGGAGGAGAATATTTCTAACAGGGCATGAGAAGAATGAAGATCAAGAAATGAACTTTTACTTCTCTAGGACTAAATTGCCAAACAGTCATTAGTGATGTCTTATTAAGATTCCTTCATGTAAAACCATACCATGTAGATATGATAAAAATGCTTGTGGAACACCATGGTAAAATGTCTGTCTCTGAACAGGAACCCAGTGTTCAGTTTTGGGTTACACAGTCTGGAGTTACACTATTGCTAACACAGGATTTCTTGGTAGCCTGCATTATATTGCTTTCCTGTTGAAAGTATCTCTTTTGCAGTGGTTTTACTAATGAAAATTTTAAATTACCTAAATCCTGCAAAAAAATTCAAGTGCTGTTTTTCCTATAATAAAGCCTCATTTCTTATTTTTTTGTTCTCTGTTTATATTTGCACTTTATTTATATTATTAATATCTAAGGAAAAGTAGTTGCCCAAACCCAGAGTCTGAGCCCAACATGAATACATATTACAGCAGATTGGTCAAAAGCTGACTCTTGGTTTGTTTAAATACCTGGGAACGTGTTACAAACTTGACCAAATGATTGTATAACTTTTGTCTAGTTTTAATACGTGCTTTAAGGTCAGGGTAGCAACTCTGTTGCATCGATGGGATCAGGGAACAAGCTCAAGCATATTAAGCACATAACTTTTAACTGACCAAGGCTCAACTTTTCTACTCTCTGAGGCCTGAATTTGGTAAACTGGCAGAAAGTAGGATTTCCATGAGGGTATTCACTGCCTGTATTTAGAGAGGGTCCATGGAGTAATTGATGGTGAACTGCACCTACATAGTAAGAAGGTTGATCACAACTTCAAACTTTTTGATAAAGTTTATCTGACCTTATCAGAGTTATGAGATGTGATTCAGTTATGATGGCAGTGTGATTCACTTGTGTATGTAGTGCAATATGTGCATAAGGAAGACTGCTTGTCTAAACAGTTTTGCTTTTCCATAGCTAAAGAACCTAAAATAAAGCATGCCAAGTATTTAATAAAATGTCAACCACTAGTAGAAAATCCTCTTTGAAAACAGGCAGCAATAATACTGTAGAGACCCTTTTAGCTGTAGACTTGATGAAGCAGGTGTTAAAAGTTCCTTTTTCTCCTAACTTTAAAGGATTTTCTAATTTTCAATATGACTTTCCAGTCTGGATCTTGAGATCAGAATTTAGTACACATGTACTATAAACCTGATGGTGATGAAATGTTCATGAGGTAGAAAACATGCAAACACGGAAAACATACACATGGCAAGTTGAGAGATAAAAAGGCTTTTCACTCAATATAACAGATTTGATGTTATTGAAGTTCTTCTGTTTTGCACATGGCCAAAATGTGTTAAAGTACAGTAAGCTTAAGTGTATTTTCAAATTCAAATGTAAAAAATTGCTTTAGTGAGGAGCCTAAAACACAGATAGAAAATGTCACTTTTGTGA